TTTCGTTTGCATTAAGGTTCATAGAGACCACTGAAGATGGCGCCACTCGATTTTCAAAGTTGCGAGGGCACGCCACTACACAGCGTCTTTGGTCCCCAGTATATAGCGTTCAATTATCAATGCTCAGCGCCATCTGATGATGGTTAGCTGAACTATTTTCATTAAATTGAAAAAACCTTTTTGCAAGGAAAATCGTGCGTCTTCAAAAATCATCAATTTTCTCAATAACTATACAGGGCGCAATTACGAATGAGCTCGCAAATTGAAGATAAATGTTTGGGATTTCCAACGTGCCATCTGTCATATTTGTAACTATTGCCAATTTCCTGTAATTTAAAATCAATCTCGAAAAAACGTGTTTTTTTTTTGTATTGTTACAAGAATGGAAAAGAAAAAACAAACAGAGTAAAACAATTCAATTATTTAACTGATATCTAGGTAAAAACATAAATTTATAAGAATAATTTAGAATTAGAATTAACAAGAAATTTGCGAAAACATTAAGGTTTCTTTAACAATTATTGTGTAACTTTTTAAAATTTTAATTAAATTATAATTATTTTGTATAATTATATACATTAAATTTGAGCAAACATACTTAAAAATTGTAACAATTATTTACAAATAAAAGCAAAATAAGATCCAAAATGTGTAGTTTATAATGATTAATTTTGCGTTTATTTAATAGAAATTGGGTACTTCCAATTCGCAGGGAGTCACTGTAAACTTTCTTCCGCAAGTAGTTGGTTGGTGATTGGATGTGGATGGTTCGCTGATGGGAATTATGACGCTGTCTCTGGAGGATGCAACGTCTGGAGAGTTCGCGAAGATTTGCGAAAGTTTGCGCACGGTTTTTGGTATTAGTTTCGGTGAATTCTTCGGGCTCTCGCGTACCAAATTGTTGTAGAGATCCTGCAGTTCTTGGATCGTGGGCCTCTTCGAGACCATGGTGCAAGGCGACCAAGTGTACTGCGTTTTCTTCTCGCTCTTCTCCACTTCTTCCCTGTTGATTTCCGTCGAATGGTGCAGATGATCGCTTTGACCATCATCCGATCTCTTCGCCATGCCCAGTTCCTTCAGGAACTTCGCTTTCATCTTCTTGGCCTCCTCCTTCTGCAGAGTTTTGTTGTAGTTTCTGGTGACCTTGATGTCGTGCTTCCAGAACTGACGACGGGCGTGATCTTTGTTGGAGATCGGTGCGACCTCTTTTATCTGAAATGTTTGTGTGCTTTAATCATTGATTGATTGATTGATGATAAAGAATTGGTTTTGTACTTTGAAGACTAAGATTCCTGCGAAGTAGATGCAAATGATGTTGACGAAGGTGAGACAGAGGCTGACGGCGCCGAGGGTGGTCAACTCGATGAATCGATCGGTCGAGTAATACTCGGTGTACGAAAGAGACGCGTAACGTGTCGTCTCGTTGCCTTTCACGTAATAGACGATGGCCAGAGACCAGAGGAGGCCCTAAGCGAAATGTTATTGTCGACAGTTTTAATTAAGTTTCGATCCTTTTTCTGCTTAGACTCACCGCGTTCACCGCTGGAGGCATCAGAGACGTGGATATTGCCACCCCCACGAGGGAGGCTATGTTGTCGCTCAGGATTCCCACGGCAACAGCCGCCCCCGACAACAGAGCAATCAGACAACCCACACCTAGTGTACGGATCTCACCTCTGGAATTACAGAAAGAAGAAACATAATTCTGAAACTTTCACAGCTTATATAAGTAAAGAACAGTACATTACATATCTTCAGCAATTATGTAATTGGAAAAGTCATAGTTTTAACTTTAATTTGAATATTCAATGATTTATTTATTAATAACGGATGTTGAGTAATTACATAAAACGTGAAGACATGAAAACAATTCGAAAAATTTCCATATTTCGATCATTAATTAACATTACGTAACGATAACTAACGTTGTACAATTAAATGTATAAATAGAATATGTAAACAGTTTTATAGTTAATTTAAAAAAAAATAAAACTTAGTTTTTGAAATATATTGAAAAATTGCTTCCAATTTTATTACTTCATTTTAACAGCTTATAACTGAAAAACGGTGCATAACACATTTCTAGCAATAGTTTCATTGGAAAGGCTATAGTTTTAACTTTAATTTTTATATTCAACGATTTAATTGGTATTTACGGTTGTTGATAATAAGTTCATTGGAAAGGCTATAGTTTTATCTTTAATTTGAACTTTATATAATGATCATTAAATATAGGATAGTTATTGAGAAAATTGAAATATAAGACTTTAATTTTTATATTAATGATTTAATTGGTATTTACGGTTGTTGAGTAATTACATAAAATATGAAGTGAAGAAAATTTGAGCACAATTTATTTCCTCAATAATCAAGTAGAACAATTTTGACAGCTTATAATATAAGAACAGTGCATAACACATCTTTATCAATAGTTTCGTTGGAAAGGCCATAAATTCATCTTTAATTTGCATATTCAATGATATAATTAGTTTATATGGTTTTGAGTAATTGAATGAAAAATAAAATTAAGATAACTTGAACATAATTTCACAATAATCAAGTAATAATTGAATGAAAAATAAAATGAAGATAACTTGAACATAATTTCACAATAATCAAGTAAGAATAAACTTTGACAGCCTATAACAGAAGAACAATTCATTGCATATATTTTGCAATTATGTTGTTGGAAAAGTTATAGTTTTAACATTAATTTGAATATTCAATGATTTATTTATTAATAACGGAGGTTGAGTAATTACATAAAACGTGAAGACATGAAAGCAATTCGAAAGATTTCCATATTTTATTTTCATTAATTAACATTACGTAACGTTATATCAACGAATGTACAATTATATGTATAAATGGAATATGTAAACAGTTTTATAGTTAATTTTAAAAAAATAAAATTTAGTTTTTGAAATATTTCGAAAAATTGCTTCCAATTTTATTACTTTATTTTAACAGCTTATAACTGAAAAACAGTGCATAACACATCTCTAGCAATAGTTTCATTGGAAAGGTTACAGTTTTAACTTTAATTTTTATATTTAATGATTTAATTGGTATTTACGGTTGTTGAGTAATTAAATTGAAAGTGAAGTGAAATAACTTGAACACAATTAATTTCTTCATTAATCAAGTAAGAACAACTTTGACAGTCTATAACTGAAGAATAGTGTAGAACACATCTTTATTAATATTTTGATTGGAAAGGTCATAAATTTTTCTTTAATATACATATACAATGATTAATTAATTAGTTTATATGGTTGTTGAGAAATTGAACATAATTTCACAATAATCAAATAGGAAAAATTTTGACAGCTTATAATATAAGAACAGCGCATAGCACATCTTTATCAATAGTTTCGTTGGAAAGGCCATAAATTTATCTTTAATTTGAATATTCAATAATATAATTAGTTCATATGGTTGTTGAGTAATTGAAAAATAAAATGAAGATAACTTGTACATAATTTCATAATAATCAAGTAAGAATAAACTTTGACAGCCTATAACAAAAGAACAATTTATTACATATATTTTGTAATTATGTCATTGGAAAAGTCATAGTGTTAGCTTTAATATGAATGTTCAACGATCTAATGAGTGTATGTGGTTGTTGAGTAATTTAATAAAAGGTGAAGACATGAAAACAATTTGAAAAATCGACTTATTTCGATCATTAATTAACATTACGTAACGTTAGCTATATCAACAAATGCACAATTAAATGTAGAAACAGAATATGTAAAAAGTTTTATAGATAATTTGAAAAATAAAACAAAACGTAGTTTTTGAAATATTTTGAAAAATTGCTGGAAACACAAGGAGGCGGTGATAACAATAAGTGGTTCTTAAAAATCCAAGTTAACGATTCTCCAAGGTCGCATTTTCAACTGTTTTCATTTTGCGAAACAGCTGTGTATTATCACGTTGTTTTGTATACATATTCTCCTGTGTAAAGTATAAGGCGGATATATCCGCCGCTCGTACGCAATTGATTAATTTGAAGAAAACATAGACTGTAAACAGCATACATTTGTATAGTAAATATTATTTTAAGAGAGAAGTGAAAAAAAAATCTAAATTTATATGAATTTGAACTAATAACTATGCATATTTTTTATCATCTGCAGATTACTTAATCAAAGTTTTAACAAAAACAAAGATTCTCCAATGTAAAAGATAGGGCGAATATATCCGCCGCTCGTACGCGAATGTTTGATTTGAAGGATAATTAGACTGTAAACACCAAACATTTTTATAATGATTATTATTTTATAATTATTTTAAGAGAGAAGTGAAAAAAAATCTAAATTTATATGAATTTGTACTAATAACTTTGAAATTAATGCATGTTTCTGCATATTTTTTATCATCTGCAGATTACTTAATGTTTTTAATTCAATGTAAACCAATACGTCATTTCTAAATGCGCGTTGTTATCTTGTTTACACATAATTAATTCAAGAAAAACATTAATAAGTCTCTTCATCAAAGTTTTAACAAAAACAAAGATTCTCCAATGTAAAGGATAGGGCGAATATATCCGCCGCTCGTACGCGAATGTTTGATTTGAAGAATAATTAGACTGTAAACACCATACATTTTTATAATAATTATTATTTTATTATTAGTTTAAGAGAGAAGTGAAAAAAAAATCTAAATTTATATCAATTTGTTCTAATAACTTTGAAATGAATGCATGTTTCTGCATATTTTTCATCATCTGCAGATTACTTAATGTTTTTAATTCAATATAAACCGATACGTCATTTATAAATGCGCGCTGTTATCTTGTCTACACATAATTATTTCAATAAAAGCATTAATAAGTCTCTTCATCAAAGTTTTAACAAAAATAAAGATTCTCCAATGTAAAGGATAGGGCGAATATATCCGCCGCTCGAACGCGAATGTTTGATTTGAAGAATAATTAGACTGTAAACACCATACGTTTTTATAATGATTATTATTTTATTATTATTTTCAAAGAGAAGTGAAAAAAAATCTAAATTTATATGAATTTGTTCTAATAACTTTGAAATGAATGCATGTTCCTGCATATTTTTTATCATCTGCAGATTACTTAATGTTTTTAATTCAATGTAAACCGATACGTCATTTATAAATGCGCGTTGTTATCTTGTTTACACATAATTATTTCAAGAAAAACATTAATAAGTCTCTACATCAAAGTTTTAACAAAAACAAAGATTCTTCAATGTAAATGATAGGGCGAATATATCCGCCGCTCGTACGAGAATGTTTGATTTGAAGGATAATTAGACTGTAAACATTGATTATTATTATTTTATTATTATTTTAAGAGAGAAGTGAAAAAAAAATCAAATATTACATTATCTTGAAAGGTATCTTATTTACTTGTCATAAAAGAAACGTTACTATTTTGTATCCAAACAACTTAGAAATAAAGCAATGTTGTTGCATATTTTTATGATGTGCAGTTTACTTAATGTTTAAATTCAATATAAACTCATTCATAGTTTGTAAATGCGCGTTGTTGCATCGTGAATTATCTTGTTTACAAATAGAAAAGTATTAACAAGTCTTCATGAAAACAACATACGTGAGTAACGCTTCTTTTATGACACTTACATATTCTATCTTCTTTTCTTTATGTAATGTTTCCTACACTTTATTCTGACAGATGAAATAATTGCGAACAGAGCAATTGGCATCGTTCATATACAATCTTCCAGTTTTGCCCTTAACACTGAACTCCAAGCATTCTTCGTTTCCAATATTGTTGGGCTCTCCGGGTCCCCACATTCCAGGCAAATCAACCGGTAAACCTGTGTTCATCCAACCAAACTTCATCGGTTCGATCTTAACTCCGGCCGACCAGTACTCGATCAACTCATCTCGTGGAACTGAAATTTAAACAAAAAAAATCTACTTGACAAGAAAAATAGAAACGTACCAGTTTTGATGAGGTACTCGTTCACCTCGTCGAATTCTCTTTGGTTGTTGCAGCTGACCAATTCCATACCGATATTGGCGCAGAACATAGCTGCTTGAAAGAACGTCGCCTGAAAACTCTCGATGAAAGAAATAATAATTAAGCAAAAAAAAGTTAGTAATCAAAAACCTTGAAAAACTTTTGCACGAAAAGATTTTTGTCGCCCTTGCTGATATTTTTTGAAGTTACGGTGATTGGATTTGCCGTTGCCATGGCAATGATCACCAGAAGCATCCAAGAAGGCTGCATGTTTGCGACTGGCAAAGTTCGATGCGGACGAGACGTCGAATGGAGATAACCGAAGCAGTTTTTAATTATAAAAAGAGCAAAGTTTAATGAGATTAATCAATTCATTAATCTATTTACATATAAAATCTTAACTTCATTAATAATCTTAAAAATAAGTAAAATAAAGTTTGATAATCAATATTTGAATTATTCATTTTTGTTTTGTTTTATTGCTTCAAATGTTTTGCACACGTTTCTAGGCTTCTAATTGGTTGTCTGGCAAACGAAGTAGGATTTTGTCGTGCACGATTGATCGTTGAGGACGAATACGCTGGGTTTGTTCATCCAGAGCTGAAGGCAATATTCGGAACCGGAAAGGTTGTTGGGTTCACCCTGCAGCCATCTGGTATTCAATTCCACTGGTAATCCCGTGTACATCCAATGGAATTCTTTGGGTTCGACAGCCGCGCCGGCCGTCCAAAACATCAGATCTTTCTCGTACTTTACTACAACAACAACAACAGCAACAGCAACAACAATATAAGAATAATTGAATAAGAGACTCACCTTTGGATTTGATGAAGTCTGTGATCTTATCGAACTCATCCTCGGCGGTTATCATCAGCAAGTTCATGCCCAGTTTGTTGCAGTACATGAAAGCCGAATAAAACGTAGTCTGAAGGGGGGAGAAAAAATAGATCTACAATTTTTTAATGGTAAAAATAACGACGTACCTTGAAGAACGTTTCGATGTGGTACACCTTGTTCTTGTAGACATACGTGCTCCTGTTGTACGTCGGTTGAGACAAAGATGTTGATGCGAGGAGAAGGAGCAGCAGAAAATCCGATGCTTTTGTCAAATTCATGGTTCGGACATTGTGGTGGATCGATGGAAATTCGCGGGTTTTTATACTAATCTCGACTGTCGTTAACATTTTTCGCCATTATCGCATCTCATTGTACGGAGTTTATCTGAAACGACACTTACGTAAATCAAACAATGAAATCATTTGTTGCAATGAAAAACTCGTTCTTTCAACAACAAACTGATTCATTAAACGATTTATTGTATTATTGTATTATAAACACAACATTCATAATATCAATTGTAACATATTACAATCGAAAACACGTGTTATTAAGCATCCATTGTAAAAGAAAATTACAAATAATATAATATACAGCAATGTTTGAATACACTTTGCGTTACAATATAAATGAAGTTTTTTAGACTTTGGTTATTTCTCCACGAAGATTTGTCATCATCATCTGAAAGTATTACATATTGATAATTATATAATTATATCCATGTGTATTGTTTACTTACAATTTTCTTTTCCTCAAGCGAAAGATTTCTAAATCCCAAAACATAACATAATTTCATTAAAGCTGCAGCAGTGGTAATGTCGTACCCTGGCAGAATACCAATATCCTCGCAAATCTATAACATCATTGATATAATATGTGCGTTACAGTTTTTAATTGTTTATTGTTGTTACGTTCGAGGTTTTGTAAGGGGGATTTACAGAACCATGAAGACAATCGGTAACATTAACAATGATAATTCCTCTTTCTGCAGCCTCCTTAAGGATTTGAATGATTTTGTCATTTGTGGGAATGTTGCCAGATCCATATGTAATTAGAACGACACCGTCTATATTACTCTTCAAGAACGATTCTAACTGAAGATAAAAATCAAAAATTAATTTATCGAAAAAAAAATTGTTTAGGTGTCTTACCTTATCAGACGTTACAAGTGGGTGAAACTTGAAAATATCAACATTGGCATTTATATTAGAATTCACTTTGAATTTATTG